CTATAAATACTCTGCAATAATTTTTTATCATTCTCTTCTGATTTTATCCACTTATTCATCAACATGCGGAGAACATGATCCCCATGTGAAACGCATGAACAATACATACACACACATATACATATGCACACTCACTTCACATACTTTGAACTTTAAATGTTTTCACATTATTTAGTCATTAAATGTTTTCACATTATTTAATCTTTAAATGTTTTCACATTATTTAGTCATTAAATGTTTTCACATTATTTAATCTTTAAATGTTTTCTTCTTTCACATATCATTGTCATGTCACATGCAAGAAGTTGGTGACACCCAACATGATAATTATTTTTTTTGTGAACAAGAAACCCACAAGACCAAGAGCCAGTGAAGAAAACCATCCACAAACTTCTCTTCCTACCCTACTCTACACAGTAGACACTATAAACTTATAACACAGCTAGAATATTTGTGATTAGTCCCTATGAAAGTTCAAAATCACAAATTTCAAATACTACAACATATCTATACAATACATGATGTTCTCTGACAGGGCAAAATAGATTTTTTTGCAACACTTGGGATCCTAAAAAAAAAAATTGCTAACCGCTTTTCAATTACTGCTGTATTGGTCTATCAGGCAAACAATACATGCTTCTTCTCTACTGTTCCTTTTGCTTGACCCTGTAGTATATTTCAACATCTTGAGTCAATATACAGACTTTTCAGTCACTTGAATATATCGACTCTAGCAAACAACAAACACAATATCATTACGCTCAACTTGACTTCAACCAGCAGACATCCCAAAAGCTTTTTTTCCAACAAAATGAAAATACAACTTCATTTCAACATTAATCAACACTGTTTCTTCTTGGTTAATCAGATAAAGTGTGACATGCCTCAAAAGGCTGTCCATTTTTTTTTTTTTTTTCACTCTTTGATGATACCACTCAAACAACACTAAGAATTTGCAAGTATGATATGCAATTGACAATAATAGCAAGTTTTCTTAAAGATCTCAAGCAAGCATTTGACACTCAGTAGAAATTTTACATCAGCTCAACTTTGCCATAATGTTGCTTCTATTGAATTTTGGGTGTCAACAACATTATCCACGCATAGCAAAGAAACAAGGTCTTTCTCAAACAAAACCCTTCCAATATCAAGGAATCAATACAATAGAATAACAAAACCAATTCAATGTGGAGCACTCAAAAAAAACAAATTTTAATAGTAAACACTGAACAATTTACACTACTAATACATTTTCCAGAGCGTGCTACATTCAACTAGAAAATAATAAAGCACCCTAATGACAGTACATGCACATTTTCATCACATGTTTAAACATGCATCTCAACCACACTTCTGATACCTTTTATTTTCAGCTCACTAGGACAGAAACAACTTCTTGAACTTTACATATGAGCAGAAAAAATTCTACCCACCTGGAGGAGAGTTTTGTCGGGTTACCTCTTTAGCATCCCACTACCACCATTTTTATCAATATCAATTTTCGTACAAAATGTGGATCACAGAGCTTATTCAGCTTAATAAATATTTTCAGAAAATCTCAACTTCTAATTGGTCACTTAATATTTAATAACATATACCTAGTTCTTGACCTGACCAAAAAGATAATTCCACCAAAATCTATCAAGCTTCTGTGAGCCTATCACGTGACCAAAGTTAGCAATAAAATATGAAACGTCTTTCATCTTCAACAGTGCGCTGATCGGATTCCTTTGAACTCGTCACACAGTTCCAGGCTATATGTTAAAGTTCCTTAACATGATTCCAGCTTGAGCGAAGACTCATTCACACAGCAATATGTTACGATGAACAATCAACTCAAGTTTTCCACATTCAACCTAATACACAAATCTTTTTCATACGCTTTCAACCTCAACGTTAATTATTGCAATTAACATAAACACAGCTTGTTAAGAACCACTTATTTCAACTACAGAAAATTTTCTTCAAACCAGTTAAAGCAAATCAAAGAGCAACAATTCCGTAAACCTTAAAGTAAGTCGTAAACAATATTTCTCTATTTCAAATCAAACTTGAACTGTTTATTTTTTCCTTAAATTACAATAATACCAAAGCACACTTTCTCATTATTGTACAGACCATTCAACAAATTATAATCTCATCAAACCAGAACTTTGATAACTTTTCATCTAAACATAAAAGGACATTTGAACTTTTTAAAACTACCTTTTTACTCCAGTTGTTTGTACCTTTTTGTTATATAAATATTTTATTCATTGTTGTTCAAAAACTGTTGTTTCTTATGTTGTCCTTATTCTATATTTGTTGAATACTGAAATTTAATGTGAGAGGAAATTGTTAATTTCATCATGCAGCCTAATTTACTCAACAATTTTTGATCAATATAATTTAATCCATTAGCACAACCTCCACACCTCCTCCTAATTTTCGAAACTGCTCCTAGAATTAGGCACATTTACTCACTACACATACTTTGGATCATTAGGTTTTCACATTCTTACATACATCATTGTCTTTGTCACTTGTATATATCTTTCTTGTTAATATATTATCATTTGTTTGTATATGTATTAGTTCTTGTTGTTTCTTTGCATTTATTCGTGTGGACTCAAAAATCAAACCAAATCTGCCCATCCGGGGTATGGCAATAAACTACGTCCAGCAGCAAGGCCTCTGATCAGGAGGTTTTGAGGAGCATGGAACCACCTCTTAATTGCTGGTGTTCCCAGGTCCACCCTGACCTGGGGTGGTAGCATGTGTTAGGGTCCCAGCTATGGACAAATAGTTAACACCCAAACTTTGTAATAAAAAAAAATTATTACCAGAAATAATTTTTGAAGGAAAAATTATTATCAGCAATACTTTACCAGCAATACAAACAGCTATATAATCTTTGGAAAAAATATGACCAGTTATAGATTTCTTCAAGGAAAAATATTCCCAGAAATAGATTTTAGAAGAAAAACATTACCAGCAATAAAAATTTTGTCAGCATTAAATAACACATAGAGGTTGATATGCTGTAAAGCGAAACAAACCAAACTAAATCTGCCATTTTTGTTGTGGTTATTCTAGGAGACACATACCAACTCAAACATGACATATGTAACTGCCAGCAACAAGTGCAATAATAAAAAAAACTGGTATTGATGTTTAAAAATAAATTAACCTTACATAATGCTCTTCCATATTTAATCGAAGGAGGCAATTCAGAATTATTTATTTTTTGAACTTCCATATAAAAAAAATAATCTAAGAGTTGCAATAAAGAAATGTTTTAAAAAATTCTTTTAAAAAAGGTTTACACGCGAAAATATTTTCAATGAAACGACATATTCAGGGATTTTTCTTTACCTGTGTGTAAAAAGATTTGATGACGCTCCCAATTAAAAAGTACACACAAGATATCGAAAAGAGGTGGCTGAAAAACTGATCCGCTAAAAATATCTCTACAGATTATTTTCGGTAAATTTTCATTTTAACACCCAAGCATCATTCACTGCTGAACTATTTTCTTTCAGAATTTAGTACTAGGTTCCGTAAAGTGATTTTTTTTTTGTACTTAATTTAAGAAGAAAGTTAACTTTCAAATATATGTAAACATCGACAAACAAAAGAAAAAAAAACATCTAACCCTAATTTGAAAGTTGATTTTCTTCTTAAAAAAAAAATAAAAAAAATAAAAGAATAACCAAAAAAAAAACAAAAAAAAACACCTAACCCTAATTTGAAAGTTAACTACAAGGAATTACTGTGACGGAAGTAAATTGGGAAGGCTCAATTTTTATACGTCCACCAACAAATTTCAGCACTGAATTACTTATCAATAAGCCGGTAATGGCTGACGAAAGATCAGGAAAAAGTCCGATTTTTTTCGGGTCGTTAACATCCAAAAAGGTAGGTTTCTTCAATATCTAATTGTTGATTTGAGTTCAGCATACATTTGCACGGAAGACTATTTTGGAAAAATTTGAAGGGATATTTGCGCTCGGGTGTTAAAATGAAAATTTACCTTTTTTCCTAATAAAATGATTGACATTACAATTCATTCATTAATAAATAATTGTTGAACATTTCGTTTAAATCGGTTAATTCTCTAATTCTTTGAATTTTTTTAAAAACAGGGGATAGTGATTTTTGCTTTCATTTCCGAAAGAGACATTTTTTGTAGTACCTGGCCAAACTACAAGAAACCACCTGGATGTTCCAGAGAATTTCTTTTGCGATCACCCACAATAACACACTGAAAAATATCGGATACATTAAGTCAAAATTGACATTTAGCTTAAGTTTAGCTAGTTAAGATGCGGTAAATATTGAATATTGATACTTTAACTTTTTGTTTGACAGCTTAATCACCCTGACAGACTCCTCAACAAACAAAACGTTAAAAAAAAAGATATGGATTTTTAAAATTTTATTTCAAACTTAGTTCATTTGTTAGGGTAGGCGATGATTAAATACTGAACATGTGAGTTTAGATGCATTCATTTGGTTCAATATTTATTTTATTCAAAATAGCTTAATTTACTTGAGCTTAAAGCTAGACATCGATTAAGTATCAAAATTGAACAAAAATTTTCTCCGTAAAAACGACGAGTTATTTCCCTTGTCACCAGCCAAAATGGCTGCTCTTGTGCAGCAAAAGGTCATTGTAAATTCTTTTTATGTGGCTGAATTAGAAATAAACTAGTATCCCTAAAAGGTGCTAGTTATTCTACCTTGTGGCAACAGCCAAGGAGCTCCGGTATTTACAACTGGAATATAACTTTGTCTCCTTTATCAGCAAATAGTTTTGTTTTACAACATAATTATTTGGGATCCCCACTTTCCACGTGTTTTTTACAAATAATTCCCACGAGAAACAAAGTTTTTTTTTCTTCTAGTTTTCTTCCAACTGTCAACAAAAATAATAAAAAATTTCATTCTCTTACTCAGCTTTTAAATAATTCTACCCTACTCTTGCAACATCCAGTCTCTTCTTTTGACATTTTCTGCAGGTTTAAACAAAAAAAGAAAAATCGCAAGGTGAGAGATTTCTTTTTTTTAATTAATTAGAAATGCATCTTTAATACTTTTTAGAGACTTTTTAGTTTTAAAACTTTTAATTTCATGCGTCATTGTATTTGTTTACTTTTACTAATTATTATTTACACAACAAAAAAAGGAAAGGGTCAAGGTCATTGCAGAGAAAATTATGAATTAAGTTTTGAAATTATTTCTGCTTTATTTTTCTTACAAATTTTATTATAAAACTAAAAAATAAAATGAATGATCGCATTTGTGAAAAATACATTAAATGATCAAAAGTTTTTTATTTTATATAAAATCGTTAAATGAAAAAACGAAATTTTTCTGGCATTCAATTACCGCTCAGTTTGGAATTGTTTTCATCGAGTACTTGAAGGTTAAGAAGAATCGTTAAAAACCAATATAAAATATCACACGTCCAACAAACTCTTTACCAGTAAGGTTTATTTATTTATTATTTCTGTTCGGTTTCATGCAAACTATTTGTATGAAAATGAGAACTTGTCTGTCTCAATTATGTTGCTATCCGACTACGAATTTTTAGGTACCACCTCGGATTCCCTAAAAAACAAAAACTAAACACATTTAAATAATTTAAAAATACCTTTTTTTTTTTTTTTTTTTTTAAAACTTAAATTTCGGTTTTGTTTAAAAAATAAAATAGACTCATAAAAATCATTTAATCCGAATTAAAAAAGAAAATTCCGTATATAAATAATGGTTTTAAAACCGCAACCCGTTCACTTGTCATTTCTCGAATCGCCAATTAGTGACAAAAAATGTAAACAAATTTAAAAAGCCAGTTATAGGACTTATCCAAAAAACTATGTTCTGAAGTCATTTAGTAAATTTTAGGATTAAACTGGATTTTGTAGAAGTAATGTTTACTTTTTAGTTTTTACTTAATGAAAATAACATTTATTTACCCACAATAAACTGTGGAGCCAGAGGTTAAAAAAAAAAAAAATGTATAATTACACCCCATGACTTAAAAAGCGCGCGAAAAATAAAAATAGGTTCTACCAGTGACCACTGATCCGCAAAAAAATTAGCTTGCCATAATGAAAAAAATGCTGCAAACTTAATAAAAACGAAGTTTTTATCATGAATTTCTTTGTTATTATTTAGGAAAGACCAAAAGATTTTGGGATTAAATTATATTTTTTCACCCTTTTCAAAATATTTTTTTTTTTTTTGTGTTATCGAGGGCAACAATTAGCGTAGGAAATTTTAGCGTCTTTTTTTTTTTTTTTTTTTGCAGTGAAGAAACATTGATTCAGAAATTTTTGCAAAAATCAAATAATTATCAAATTTTAGTGAAACTCTCAGGACTTATTCATAAATGAATAAAGTTATTTTAGAAGTGTTTTTTTTTTTAGAAAATATTGTTGAAAATATTTTTTTTACTTATTGAATTGAATTTTATTTGTCCTCCTTAATGTTTTAGTTAAAAGCAGAAGTCCCTGGAGAATTTGAATCATCAATTCATTTTTTTAAAACAGGATCCCCCAGTTACCAAAAATCTATTCTGAATCGTAAAATAAAAAATGCAATCAAACTCTGATATTATTTAATTAGCAAAGTTTTTCGTTGCTTTTACGAATAAGTTATATTATGGACACTATTGCCTTAAGAAAAAAAACATTGTTTGAATAATGAATTTTTACAAGAATTCTTTAGACTTTTTAAAAATTTTAATTAGAATAATTTATAAAGTTTTAAATCTTAGGTTTCTGTATTACTTTGTCCTGGTTAGGTGATATTGTTATTAAATAAAAACTATATTTATTAATGATAAATGGAAAATCTTAGTACAATTCATCGAAAACGCCAAAATTTTAAAAAGAATATTGAAATTTTTTTGTGTGTGTAGTGATAACTAGAGTAAATTTAAAGCCTGAGTACCTAAAATTCAATAAAATAGAGAATATTTTCCCAAATTTTTAGGATTACTGGGTAGTTAAAAATTACATAAGAAGGTTGTTCATGTTATATTCCTCAAGTAAATTTTACAGATAAATTCACCATAGGAAAAAAATAGATAAACTTCCAGCAGTCAGTCAATACCTTAAATAAACAGCTACTGCTGTGTTAAAAATGCATTTCTGTAATATTTTAAACTTAAGGTAATATTTGTTTCAAATCAGAATAATTAAACTTTAAATTGGCTAAAATTCTTCTAAAGTTTCAGAAAAGTATATTTTATTTTTGAAAGATTTTTTAAAAAGAATTACATTGTGATGAAAGATGGCTAAAAATGATGCTAATATTGGTGATTTTAGAAATTTCAAGACGAAAACTTTCAGTTAATTTAAATTATTTTTGCAGTATAGCAAAGAATTTTGCTTATTGGAAATATTAAATTTAATCTATTAGCTTGAAACTAAAGCTAAGATAAAGGCTTCAAGAAATTTTTCATTTTTAAACTTTAAGTATCCCATTTCTGTAGTGAGGTTTGATGATATTTCCCCCTAATTAAAAAGTACACACAAGATATCAGAAAGTGTGTGTGTGGGGGGGGGCAGTTTCACCCAAATATTTCCAAAGTTTTCTAATAAAATAACCATTCATTAATGAATAAGTACTGAAAATTTCATTTGAATAAAATAATTTCCTGATCTTTAGCAAATATTTTAAAATGGGGAGTAGCAATTTTTGTTTTGTTTTTGTTTTCATTTCAGAAAAAATGCATCCATTTTTGTGTTTCCTAAAATGTACTGATTTTTTTTTTTTGTTGACTCAAAAAAAAGGTAGATGATTTCACCTCGTCAAATTTTTAAATGGAACCTTGATATTAAAAACTTAAAAAAATAAAGATGCTTAAAACTAAAACATTTAAAAATTCTCTTAACAAAAGCTGAAGAGGTTGCATTGGTAATATATGCTAGAAAGTCCTTGGTCTGACCAAAAAGGATTCCCAAAATTCTGTAAATTTCTTCAGATTTTGTGAAGTGGGTTGAAGTGAGAATGTTTCAACATCTTTTCTGTTTTTGAAAGTAAAAATAAGAAACAATTTATGGAAGTGGGGTGTTATTTATATTGAACAACTTTGTAACACTATTTTCTGTCATCTTTTACACAACTTCCAAATTCTATCCTCTCAAAGCTATTTATATCTTTCTCAGCAAAGACCTTTTCTCAGTGCCTTTTTCATTTTTCCAGGGAGGTTATTTACTTTCCTTTTAGAGAAACCCACATAAATGGTAATTCAAAGATGCAAATATGGCAGATGGGTAAAATCTTCCAAAGTCGTAATTATTGCTTAGTGGAAAAGAAACGTGTCCACTATTTACATTATTCGGACTATTGTCCTCATCTTTGTCGCCATATTTATCACAACATTTCGGCCATTGTACACTCCGTCCTTCTTCAGGTGGTTGGAATGGCGAACTGAACCCTTTATTTCACTCACTGGGGTAGACTGTTCTAGTTCCACATATCATGTTTAATGGATGTCAGTTATCAGTTATCTCCTGTTAATTCCCCTCTCCAAGTTCTCCACTACCTTAACCGGGTATTGAACTCACACTCTTTAGGTCCTGTCACTGGATCTAACCAACGCCTTTATCCACTGTGTCATGTGTCCTTGAGGACATCTGTGTATGAATTTCTGGGTATTATAAACCTAATGTCATCAGAAACTATTTTTTACCAGTGCTCATATTGCAATTTTTGCTGTTATCATTGCATATTTTTACCAGAGCTCATATTGCAATTTTTTTTGTTGTTATTGCTTTTTTCTGGCACTCCTTATTACTGGTTCCCATATTGTATTCATTTCTATGCTTGATTCCTTAAGATTACAAATTTTCCAATGGCCGAAACTTTGTGATAAATATGGTGACAAGATGAGGACAATAGTCCAAATAATGTAAATAGTGTACATAATACCTCATCTCAGAAGTATAGATAGATACTGAAGAAACATGTCTTGTAACATTATCCTGATGGAATATTATGCATTTTCTCTCAATGTTGAATTTTATTAAATTCTGAACATAGTCTTCAGTTGGTCTAATTTAGAGTAGTACTTGTAAGGATAAAAACTGACTTTTTTTTTTAGAGATGATTCATTTTTGCTTGCCCTATAATTTTTAGTGTCATACATTTCCTTCAATTATCACATTTCAAAGATGAAACATTTAAACATAAGCTTGTTTTTTTTTTTTCACTTCTATGAAAGGCATATCTCAAAAGATCTAATATAAATAACTAAGTTGACAAAAAAGATTTTCAACATTTGATTTGGATGTTTTGCATATATGACTCTCTCCTGTGTCATTTAATGTTGATTATTCTTGTGTATTCATTTGATTGGTATTAATCTTTGACCTTTCAGTAAGAAATCTCCGGCATGAAACTTTGCAAACCATTTTTGACACCTTTAATCATTGACAGTACCTTCTCCATAAATTGCACACATTTTATTTGTATTTGAGTTACATTTTAAACCTTTCTTAAATTAAAAAAGCAAAATATGCCAATAATGTTGATTGATTACTTCCATCTTCAATGTTACAATCAGTAAAAAGAAATGTGCAAATTTTGACAAAATTATCAAAAAATGTTATACAGTAAAAAGTGATTTGAATAAAGTTAAAACTAAATGCTCCTAATTTTTGTCTGGATTTCTGGGATGAGAACATATCATTATTTGCATGATTTATACTCAGACTGTTGTCTTCATCTTTGTTGTCATAATGTTTCAGCCATTTTGTGACCTTCATTAGTTTCTTGTCAATCCAAGTAACCTTCAGAGAATTTAAAATTGAAAACTATTTAATCTGAAAAGATAAATTGTTCTCCTTCCACATTAATGTCTATTTATATCTCATCTTGTTCTTATTTAGTACTGCCCAGTTATTATTCATTCTGTTTCTACTGGGTCTATGTCTGAACTGCCTGGTACGGCTGATCATGTATGGGAGGAAAAGGGGTTGCACCAATCCCTGTGGAATAAAGTAAAACTTCTAGACAGAGAAGAACACTGGATAGTC